TGTTGATGGTCTAGACTTAAGAAAGTAATGGAGAAAATGTTAAAAATGAAGGTTAATTTAAAAGGGTGTCACATGTTTTGCAGCACCAATTGCTAAACATTTACCAACACACCCCTAAAAATAACCTAAAAGCATATAATTTATAAAGACAAAAAATATCAGACTTAACCAAATTAAGTGAACATTCAGTATAACCAAAACTAATTTAGGGCCAATACCTATTAAAAGTTCATAGCTTCAAATGCTGTTAACATTTTAAAAGACTTTTAGTCTATTCAAAAGATTTATATTTATTTTCATGGCCACCCTCTTCATAGCAATACAATCCATGACCTTTTAAGGTATATTTAAAAAGTGAATACACCAGGTAGCTTAATAAGTTAAATGTAGATAAATTTTAGTGTCCCTTTGCCCTCGTTTTCTCATGATGTTTGAAAATATTTGGTACATTTGTCCTTTTTTTTTAGGTTATACATACACAATCATGTTAAACCTATTTCCACACTAGTCATGTTGTGAAAGAAGAAACAAAAAAAAAAGGAAAAAAAAATGGAAAAAAAACATAGAAAGTAAAAATATTATGCTTCAATCTCTATTCAGACTCCATTAGTTCTTTCTCTGAATGTGGATAGCATTTTCCATCAACAGTCTTTGTAAAATTATTGGATCATTGTATTGCTAAGAAGAGCTAAGTCTATCATAATTTATCATTGGACAATGCTGTTATTACTGTGTATGATGTTCTCCTGGTTCTGCTCATTTCACTCAGCATCAGTTCACGTAAATCTTTCCAGGTTTTTGTGACATAGACCTGCTCATCATTCCTCACAGCACAACAGTATTCCGTTACAGTCATATACCAGAACTTGTTGAGCCATTCCCCTCAATTTTCAATTATTTGCACAAAAAGAACTGCTATGAATATTTTTGTATATGTAGGTCCTTTTCCCATTTTTATGATCTCTTTGGGATACAGACCTAGTAGTGGTATTGCTGGGTCAAAGGGTATGCACAATTTTATAGCCCTTTGGGCATAGTTCTAGATTGTTCTCCAGAACCACTGGATCAGTACCCAACACCACCAACCATTAGTGTTCCTATTTTCCCACACCTTCTCCAACATTTATCATTTTCCTGTTCTGTCATATTAGCCAATCTGATAGGTATGAGGTGGTTCCTCAGAGTTGTTTTGCATTTCTCTAATCAATAGTGATTTAGGACATTTTTTCCATGACTATAGATAGCTTTGATTTCTTCATCTGAAAACTGCCTGTTCATATCCTTTGACCACTTATCAACTGGGGAACAGTACATCTGTTCTGCAGAGCTTTGATCTTGCTCAATGATCCCCTACCCACATTCAGCAGTCCAGCAAGATGGGACTTTGTGCTATGCCCCACACAATTCTCCCTCTCCTGTTTCTACATTGTTAGACAGGCTATCCCCTAAGCCTAGAATGCACTCTCTCCTCCCCTTTACCTCATAAGAATCCCTAGTTTCCTTCAAAACTCAGCTCAAATGCCACCTTGTATAGGAAGCTTTCCTGATACTTCTAAATTCTTAGCCCTCCTTCCTAGACGCCTCATTTATTTTCATATATTTTGTACATATTCTTCCTCCCGATGGAATGTTAGCTTCTTTGTGTCCCCAGTGTCCAGCATAGTTTCTTTACACATAGAAGGCACTTAATGAATACTTGTTAATTGATTATCTGATTATCCAAAGGAGCTAAATGGAGTTCAGGTATCCAGGTTTGAGGAACTTAAAATAAATATTCAATTCACATTACTTGACTAATGACAAAAATATACTTAAATTCCTTTTAAAAATTAATGGCTTTGTTTGACTGATCAGTCTAGTCCCTTTGAAGTTTTAAATTATGAAGTTTTAGATTATATCTGTAAACAATTTTGAATCTTTAAAGTTCCCGATCACTTCAATATCATCTAAAATGTCTGAAAATTTCAGAATTTTTTTTTCCCACTCGGAAATACCTACAATGAGATCCAGATATTTCAAAAGGATCCATATAGCCCACACAAGCTTCAAATACCTACTGGGTATTTCCACTGATATATCATGCATCACCTTGGATACTGGAGGCCTAAATTCAAATGAATTCTTTGAAACTCTCTCTCCTTCTTGACATTTTCATTTCATTCTCCCAGTCACCCAGGCTTAAAGATCTTTCACTCCCTACTCTTTCAGGCCCTTATAGCCACTTATTCTTCAAATTTTATCTGTTTTTCCTTCATAATGGCCCTGTGGCCATTCTTTTATCTCTGCTTCTAGTGTCACCCTCCATCCTGGGCTCTCACCAAGTCACTCTTGGATTATTGTAACAGCCACTTTTCTAATGGGTTTCCCATGTGTCAAGTCTTTTCCCTTTCAGTCTATCCTATATACATCTATTAGATTTATGCTCCCAAAATGTCATTTTTCTTTATGTTTTTGCCCGCTTTAAAAAAACAAACAAACAAATATGCCTTCCTGGGCACTAAGGGAAATCACTGTATATTTGTTTAAAAATAGTTCTGTACTGTTCTAATATAGTTTAAAATGTTCCAGAAAAAAAAAAGTCATAGCCCTTTTACAAAATGTGGATTTGAAGGGACTTTGCTTGGATAATCTGAAGTAGTTTCATGCAAACTAATTTTTACATCAAAGGATAAGAAATTAAGTAGTAGAAATGGGCTAGATGGAAAGAAAATCTATTGACTGGAAAGACAGTCATGGGATATTTAATCCCATGGTGGGATTTTGATGTGGAGATACTTTGACTCCAACTCTAGTGGTCTTTCCACTGTGACACTTACTCAGCCGGATATTTAATGAAAACACACACACACACACACAGAGAAAAAAATAATGGAAACCTCTTTCCTCCATTTTACTCCAAGCTTTATGGAGGAAAAAAAAATGACAATAAACAAACAATGAAGTTCTTGTGGAAACAGAAAGGAACAGAACAGTTGGGTGGAGGGGCTGAAATGAGGAAATGAGGTTAGGGGAAGTACTGAGGTGAAGTTAAGCACTTTATCACAACTAACTTGTAGGCAAGAAATAAAGGTCTAACATACCAAAGAGGATCCAAGGCTGGAGTGAAGTCATCTATAAGAACTTTCTGATAAAAGCACTATTCTGCTTTAATTAAGTTTGTTTTTAAACCATAATTGACTCGACTGAGTATCCTACCTCTGACACTTACTGTCCATGTGATCCTGAGAAAGTCATCCAAGCCCTCTTGGCCTTAGCTTCCTCATCTGTGAAGTAAAGACGCTGGGCCAGATGGCCTTTATGATCTCTCGATCTATGATGGTGATCTCTTTGAGTTATCTAAACTGTGAATAAGCCTACCTAGCTGGTCTCCATGCTCATACCCAGGCTGAACCTGGCGGTACTGTTGTTGTTACGTCATTTTCAGTCATGTCTGACTCTTCAACATACTGGAGTGGTTTGCCATTTCCTTCTCCAGCTCATTTTACATATGAGGAAACCGAGGCAAACAGGGTGAAGTGACTTGCCTAGAGTCAAACAGCTAATCTCTGAGGCAAGATTGAACTCAGGTCTTATGACTCCAGAGCCAGTGTTCTATCCACTGTGACACCTAGTTGGCCCTGGTGGCAGTTTCTAAGTTGCATACAAAGTGACCCTAAGTAAATAGGTCCTGAAATGTTAATATTTTCAACCTAAGGCCACCCAGTGACAAAAGCATCACACATGCTCATTATCTATTAGGAACCTACCTGCCCATTATCATTACAAGAAAGCTCAGGCTCCATAGACTGGCATCAGAGGTCCTGCCCTCCACAGTCCAGCCCAGCAGAGTAAGTGGCACGGTGGAAAAACCACTAGGGTTGGAGTCAAAGTATCTCCACATCAAAATCCCACTTTGGAGTTTCTTCAAGTATAGTCTATGAGATCCCTTACAATATCTCTAGGTCTGTGCTCCCATGACTTCCAATTTTATGTCTGATCTCTCTGATCTCTCTGTTCCATCCAGACTGGTTTATTCAATGACCCCCAATACCTCATACATATTCTTGTTTTTACCCTTTGCTCACTGTGATCTCTGCTGAGAATGCCCTCCCCCTCTCTTTCTACTTGTACTTCAAAACCCTGCTCAATTTTTAAACATTCTATATGAAATGTTGTTCTCTGACTACTCTGGGCCTCAATCAGAGTATATTCCTTGTATATTCCACTCATTTAGCACTATATCACATACAATTCCCTTGTGATATGTCTCAACGGGTTATTTAATTTTTGTTTTTATTGCTTATGTATGTGCATATTATGTGTACACAAGCTTCAAAACCAACTTTCTACATTTTGAGATTCTTTCTGCCTTATTTTTCATTTATAAATTGTTGCCCACTCACATTACTGAATAATGTAAAGCTATTCAATAATTTTATAGTGCTTGAATTGTACATTTCCTATGATTAGTACAATAATTCAGAATAGAGAATTGTTCTTATTATTTACAATGTAGAATGTTATTGTTTCATGATTCTAAGAGAGAACATATAGCCTGTTATTTCAACATTTCTGATTTATAATTTTACATATTTCACCAATGGATAACAGAGGTTTGCAATGAGTATCACTAAAATGATTTTTCCTTTGTTCAGGTATTTCTTTGCTTGTTATCACATTCTCTTTTTAAAGGGAAAATTCAGTCTTTTGATATGAACCAGTTATACTTAATTTCCAGCATTTGGAGGTAATCAGAATTTTGAAAAAAAATTTATCTGGTCTAAAAAGAAAGAACTACTGTACAAGGTAAAAGTGAAAAAAATTTATACAAGGATGCCCATTGTGACAGTGTAGTACAACACCATAAACAAAATATGTAACCATGGAAAACATGAGAAATTTAATACTAAAAGAAATGACATTATTAAAAACAAAAGAAAACCTAAAAAAGAAAGTAGCTACTCACACAAGTATGTGAGCAACCATGCACATACCCATAGAAGGTGCCTAAGAACACCTACCTGCAGAGACACGAGGGCAGTCAGGCAACATGGACTCCACTGATGTATCTAATGGTTCTGAACTAGACACCCAATTACAACAGTTCTGTAAGGTAATAGAAACAATTTTCTGATGAATCAATAATTTAAAGCAAAAAAAAAAAATTTTAGGGTCCAAAGATTGTTTTTTTCCCCTCAATAATCAACTACTAGAAATGTATTTCCTTATCTTCCAAATAGTTTAAAACACTTTTCTTTACAAACAGTTGGCAATCGTTTATCATGAATACAAAAGAGTAGTCTAAACAACTCAGCCACTCCTGTGTTCATATTAAGGGGACACATAATCAGTGAGTGACAATACAGTCTGCTGTTAGTGAAGGGATAGCTATAAAGTCATAAACAAAGGAATAATAATGAAAATGATGCTGTATTTTCACTTTTTGATCAAAATTACTTATCTGATCATGTGAACAGGAATGAATAAATTTCTATTCTATTATTTTAATGTGGAGTCCAAGGAACAATTACATTTATCCTTACACTAAGAAGTTGGCCTAACTGAATTTAACTTAACCCTATTCAGAAACCTAAATAGTTCAAAAGAAATAGCATCTAGCACACTGTGAAAATATTTGTTTTAGGACACAATGCCTGTCATTTTAAAGATTTACCTATAAAAGAATGCGATGATTTATAGCTCAAATAAATGAAATAAAAGAAAAATCCTACACTCCTTCCCTCCACACAGTATAAATCTTTATCTAAAAGTCTAGTCTTTTAAAAGCATGATCAGTTTCATATGGCTTTGTTTTTTAAATTTCTCAGAAAAAAAACCCATGAATTTCCATACAGATTTTTAAGAAATCATTCCATCAATCATGTTTGGAAAAATGGTTGATTGCTATTCTAGTAAACAAGCATGTATTGTGTATTTTTAGATGCTTGCTGCTCTAGTTGTGCACCATGGAATCCGTTCTCACTGTGGAAAGATCCTTGACTGGTAGATCAAGTGTCTTATTGTATTTTCTTAATTCATTCTGTCTGGAAGAAGATGTCAGCTGTGTTGCAGTGAGGAGAGAATTTCAAAGGCCCCAGTCCCCACCAATAAAGGCCAAGGAATGGCTTTTGAATAGATTTGTCAAGGCAACCCTACTGTTCTGGGACCAGGGAGAGCAGGAATAACATAAAGGAAGGGTTGCTGTACGAGATTAGAAAGTGAAGTTCACAAAGCATGGCAGATTTTTGTAAGAAACAGTAGATCAATGAGACTATTGAACTGTGTGGAAAAAAACATGAAAACAAACACACCATCCAGTAATGTTCTTAAATGCTATTTCTCTCTTTTAAAATTTAAAATGGATGAAAAAACCCCCCTGAGTATTTTCATGTTTCACAAAAGCTTAACGGTTTAAAGTAGAAACTATTCTGTAATATGCACTCCTAATCTTAATTAACAGCTGAATGCAAAGTTACACAATGTAGGATTGTGGAAAATATAAAGAAGTAGGGTTTTCATAAGGTATTTTATTCATTTGAAATAAGCAAAATTAATATTGCTACTGATAGAGCCCCACATCAGAGAATTCTAGATAATGCAGAAGATTAGCACACAATTAGCCAGCTTTTATATACAATGTGACACTTGCCTGTAAGAAATAAGTATTCTCCAAAGCAGTGTCAAGATATGTAAATGGATGATTTGTTTTATCATTCATCACAGCTCCTAATAAATTCAAAAATCATGACTTCTATAGGTACTAAAAATAGGCCTCCAATGATACAGGAGAGATAGCTTCAATGAAGAATGCTTTTTTTTTTAAACAATTTAGTCTTTCAATGACAGCAATTAACACTACAGACAGACAGGCTGCGATTAGGTATATATTTTAATTATCATTCATTCTACAAGTTCCCCTAAATCTGATGAAAGTTAGATATTACCCAGGTGATATCTCAGACTTAATAATTCTCACCTACATTTCACAAATGTAAAAATACTGCTTATAGAAGATTTCTAATAGTAATGAATGTTAATATACTTCATTAATCATTTTTTTTCTTACGATTGGCTTTAAGTGACTGAAATGAGAGTAACTGTAATGAAATTTGCTTTAGCCCAAATATTTAAGGCCAAGATGTAGAGATCCAAATGATACAGACTTGAAATTTTAATTTTTATCTTGCAATAAGTTTTAAGGCTTTGATTTCTCAGAAAACACGGAAATTCCCTGACAGCTTGTGGGGGCAACATCCTTTATATTTTTAACTGTTAAGTCAGAGCTGTCAGACTGTGTCCCAGGTGATGCTTTATTCCCATCAACTCTGACCTATCAAACTGTTAAGGTTAAATCCAGAATTGGTGGTCTAGATAGAAGACTAATAAAAGAAAAAGGTCTCGCTAATTGCAGAGGAAACCCAAATTTGCCCATTTAGAACAAATCATGACAAATGAAGTAATCAACTTAATATTTCTTCAATTTTCGAAACAGAAACAAATTACTACAGGAAACAACCCCACAGAACTATAGTCCCTACTTAAGGAGAGAAATTCGTAACATAATTCGGGGTTTTTTTTTTGTGCTACAAATTTCCCTTTAACTCATCAATCCCACATAAGAGATTTAAAGGCTCAGGTGATAGTATTATTTTCAACTTCAAGTAACAAAAGAAACCCAACTTGTTCTTTTAAATAATAAACAAAAATCTCAAATTTTGAAAAAGGCAACAACTCCTTCCCTCTCCCCCCTCTATGGTTCTGAACAAGTAAGTAAAATTAAAAATAAATATAACTGAAGTAGTCTTTAAAAATCTAATAAAACTCTACTTTGGGGGGGAGGGGAGAAAAGGTTTGGAACTGGCTATCAACATTGGTCAAATTACCTTAAACACTGATAAGGTTAAACTTTGAAATTCCATTCATAGTTGTTAGCATACTAGAATTAAAATCACACCCTATTCTTAAATGATATTCCCAAAGAAATAAGTACAGCGTATCTTGGAATCAGTACTAAGAAATAAACTTTAAGATTCCAAGTATTGAAGGAGGTTAGAGGATTTAAAGACTCCATGTTTACAGGCAATGTGACTTTAAAAGCTTCTAAGAGGAATATATAGAAATTTCCATTACTTAAACGATTTAAAGATGTTTTTGTTGTCATCATTTCAGCCATGTCTGACTCTGACCTCACTGGGGTTTCTTGGCAAAGATGCTGGAGTGGTTTGCCATTTCCTTCTCTAGCTCATTTTACAGATGAGGAACTGAGACAAACAGGGTTTGGTGACTTGCCCAGGGTCATACAACTAGCAAGTATCTGAGGCTAGATTTGAACTCATAAAGAAGACTCTTCTGATTCCAAGCCCAGTATTCTATTCAGTGCACCACCTAGCTGCCCATGGGTAAAGGATATAAACAGGCAATTTACAACACATGTTGGAAACAATCACTCGAAAAACTGTTCAACCCAATCAAGGAAATTCAAATTAAAACAAATGTAAGGTACCACTTCACACTTATCAAATTGACAAAAATAACAGAAATGGACAAAACTCAATATTGGCAGGATTGTGGAGAAACAGGTACACTCATAAATTGCTGGAGGAATGGTAAACTGGTAGAATCTGTTGGGAAGAGCAAGCTGGAAGTATACAAGAATCACAAACATTGCCATCTTTTAACCCAATAACCCCATTATTGGGACTAGCTCCTAAGACATTTATCTTAAAAAGGTTATCTACTAAAAAATAAATTATAAATGAATGTATACATAATGTATATATTAAGAATATAATATACATATACATAGTCCCACAGATAAGCATATTTATGTTATTTGTAGGTGTCCAACAGTTGGTGAAGTACTGGATATTGTATATAAATGGAATAAAATTTTATATGCATTCAAAAGATTTGTTCATCAGTTCAAGGGATTCCGTGTATGAGAAATCCTTCCCTCTTCGTGGTAAATGAGTTGTCTAAGGCACACAGAAGTTAACTGATTTGCCCAGGATCAGAGTTATTAACTGTTTGAATTGGGACTTGAACTCATGACTTAAGGACTCCCAGCACAGCACTTGATGCACCATGCCAAGCTGCCCCTATGTGTTCTACTGAATTACAATGATAAACTATGAGGAACACAAAAACAATTTGGAAAGACGTACGAAAGGAGAAAAGCAGAATCAGTACAACACAGATACAACGATGACTATGCAGAGGAGAAAAATGCATACACAAATACAGAGGTAAACGAATAAACAAAGAGAAAGGAAGCAGACAGAGAGGGAGTAACTAAGAAACTGTCAGGAGTATTTTTATGTCTGAATTCATTTTTAAAATGTAAATAGTTGTAAATGTGTGCTTTAATTGGTTTTGTTGTTTAAAGTTAATTCCATATCACAAGCTAGCAAAAGTTTGACTTATGTTGTTTTTTACATCTCTTTTGGAAAAATAAATGAAAACACTAAAGAAGAATATGCTGTCACTGAGGTAAAAAGACAGAAGAAAAACATGAAGTAAATGTAATGCGAGCCACACCCAAGGAATTACACTCAGAAAGTGGAGGTACCAAGAGGTATGGTGGGTTACTCATATTCTCTAGACATCAGGGACTTGGAAATTTTTATTTTGTTGTGTGGGCTGAACAGTGGGCATAATCGGCTTGTGGAGACAGCTATTTATTCAGTGCTCAGAATTTCCTCCATCAAAATGTAAGCAGTGACAAAAACCAATGAAAAGACCACCTGATAAAGAAGCAGCAGACAGGGAGAATATAGGCTTTCCCTGGCCTACAACATGAGTGTGGTGGGGTAGGAAGTAGCCAGTCTCTATTTCCAAAGTATATGTAAAAAAAGACAACTGATAATTACTACAAATATGCTCTACCTATGTAAAGATAAGCCTCAAATATGGCTGCCTAAAGGGCATGCTGGACATCTAATAATATGTAAGGGTCAGATTAAATCACACTCCCTATGGGCAGAGTTCAAAGCTGAATCATACAACACAAAAAGGGATTATGGCTGAGGGTTGTGTGGGGCCACTTCTCTGACACAGAAGGAAATTCTCCCACTTAGTCTAATCAGTCCTGGAGATCAGGAGAACAA